TCTGTGGTCATGTCAGGGTCTTCCCGGCTCCCAGCCAGACCCCACAGAACTTCACAGAACTGAGAACTGGACAAATCCAGAACTGGCTCCCACAGCAACTGCACAGCACTAGGACATATCAGAACTGTCCGCGCCGCCGAACTTCTCCAAAAACACAGAACTGTGTAAACCAGGAAGTACCGACATTTTTAAAGAGCTCTTTTCCCGGTTCATTTGGGAGTCTTCACATTGGTCAGTACCGACCAGACAGGGGTGTGTTTTGTGACGTAAGAGGTTACTAGGAGTCAGAAGACAGCAAGAATGTTATTGAACAGATTAAACTGTTCTCAGAGACAGAGAGAGTTTGTTTTGGCGAGTTTTAGAAACAGGTGCCAACTCCGTTGACGTCTGAGAGGATGTAAACAAGACAGTTGTTCCAACACATGTCTGCTTCGACTCCTGACCTTGGAAAACGCACACTTGCTCATTCAAAGACAGAAATCAGAAAATGCATAAAAATCTGTAACAGACCTTAACATGAATTCTAACTCTGCATAAGCATTAAAAAATCATTACACTGTTTCACAGTTAATAAAATTGATTAGTTCACTGCAACACCTAAAATGGTTTGAACTAAGACACTTTGATTATCAACATTTGTAAAATAGTAATGATAATAAAAAGAGAGTGTTCCTTCACTTGATCTTCAAGAAAGAGAGTCTCAGGATGGGTGAACCTGTATTTCTGGATTCAAATCAATGAAATGACAGTTCCTGTCCCACAAGGTTCTTAAGGTCAAGGGTTTTGACATTAGGCTTAGTCTTGACATCAGGTTAAGTTCACTACACTGCACTGAGTCGACTGGTCATTTTATTAAAGTTAAGTCACGCTTTCGACCATGGCTGCTCACTCTCCATGTTTGGGAACACTTCCTGTGGATTCTACTTTGTTGGTGTTCGGCGGGCGGCTTCTACTTTCAGTTGGCAGACTAGGCATCGAAACTAGGAATCAAAAATAAATATTTTGAACAAGTCCAGGAAAATCGGACAGTTAGTCCCGGTTCCAAACGATTCTCGATGCCCAACCCTATTCTTCACTGACGTCATCATTGTGAGACTATATGATGTATGATTTGTTCACAGCTGAGACTTATTGGAATAAAATAATGAGGTGGCTTTACCTCATGGTTCAACTGAATACAGAGTAGCGTGACTTTCTCTGACTTATCCTGCCCTTATGATGACTACGCCAACAAAGAGTGGCGGAAGGAGTATCAGATCAACTACATTCTGTGTAGAAGAGGAAACCTGAGGGAGATTAGAGACTGTAAAGTTGTGGCAGGGGAGAGCGTGGCCAGACAGCATCGGAGGGTTGTGTGTAGAATGACTGTTGTTGTGAAGAAGAGTAAAATCAGAGAAGAAGACCAAATGGTGGAAAATGAAGAAGGAAGAATGTTGTGATAAATTCAGAGAGGAGCTGTTAAAGGCTCTGGGTGGTAAGAAAGAGCTTCCAGATGACTGGACTACTACAGCAACAGTAATTAGAGAGACAGGTAGGAAGGTACTTGGTGTGTCATCTGGACAGAGAATGGATGAGCAGGAAACCTGGTGGTGGAATAGTGAAGTGCAGGAAGATGTTCAAAGAAAGAGATTAGCCAAGAAGAAATATGACAGAGAGAGGACTGAAGAGAGGAGACAGGAATATAAGGAGATGGGACGTAGAACAAAGAGGGAAGTAGCTAAGACAAAGCAGAAGGTGTATGAGTTGTATGGGAGACTGGACACTAAAGAGGGCGAGAATTTATTCATTCAAACTTTATTTCTACAGGTTAGTCCCATCGAGCCACGAGGACTCATTTACAAGAGAGACCTGATTTTAACAAAGAGTGATGACAACAGTAGACAACAACGACAACAACAGACATTCACAAATGATTCATACAAATGCTTTTGTTTGGGTTTTTTTTACAATTGAAAACAAAATGATAATTTAAAGGAAAAAGAAATGTAGCAAAATTCAGTATGTGCTAAAAGCCAGGGAGTAAAAATGTGTTTTTAAAAGAGTTTTAAAACTGGACAGTGAAGGAGCTCGTCTGATGGGAAGAGGGAGATCGTTCCACAGTCTTGGAGCAGCAACAGAAAAAGCTCTGTCCCCTCTGAGCCTCCGTTTAGACCTCGGCACCTCCAGGAGCAGCTGATCAGCTGATCTGAGGCACCGAGCAGGAGAGTATGGGTGAAGCAGCTCAGAGAGGTAGGATGGAGCAAGACCATATAAACTTTTAAAAACAAATAAAATAATCTTAAAATGAACTCTAAAATGAACAAGCAGCCAGTGGAGTGAAGCCAGCTAGAAGTACTTGTACCGACTGCCAAGACAGAGGGATCAGGCTGGAAAGGATGTGCAGCAGGTTAGACTTGTTAAAGATAGGAATGGTAATGTTCTAACAAGTGAGGAGAGTGATGGGAAGATGGAAGGAGTACTTTGAGGAGTTGATGTAGTCACACAATGACTACAGACCTGTGGTCTTGACATCACATGCCATGAAGTCGCTGGACAGGCTGGTCCTGAAGCATGTCAGATCAGTGGTGGAACCATACCTGGACCCCATACAGCTGGGGTGTCAAACCCACTTACAAAAGGGGGCCAAAATTAAAATCTTTTTAAAACTAAGGGCCAATTTCAGAAACTACTTTAACTCAAATCAGATACCCAGCATCTTTTCTTGGTCACAGGTTCCTCAACAAGAGTTTGATTGGTCTCATTGTATGTTCTCTGTTGTGCTTTCGACATCATAATCAAAGATTACTGAACAAAATTAAAGAGACAGAAGTATTTTACGTTTCACATATCATCTTGGGGGCCAGAAAAGATGTCAACGAGGGCCACATTTGGCCCATGGGCCTTGAGTTTGCCACATATGCCGTACAGTTTTCATATCAGCTATGCATTGGAGTTGATGACGCCATCATCTACCTGTTGCACAGACACACACCTGGACAGGGCATGCAGCACAGTAAAAGTCATGTTCTTTGACTTCTCTAGTGCTTTTAACACCATCAGACCTGCTCTGCTCTGCAGTCAGCTCTCGGACATGTAGGTGAAGGACTCGCTGGTCACCTGGATCGGAGACTACCTCACAGGTCGACCACAGTATGCGAGGCTGCAGAACACCACCTCAGACACCATACTGAGCAGCACAGGGGCTCCTCAGGGCTCAGTCCTCTCACCATTTCTGTTCACCCTCTACACCTCAAATTTCAGGTCCAATTCACAATCCTGTCATCTGCAGAAGTTCTGGATAACTCTGTCATTGTGGGCTGCATCACTGGTGACCAGGAAGCTGAATACAGAGGAGTGGTGGACAGAACCACCTGTAACTCAATGATGGGAAAACTAAAGAGCTGCAGATGGTGTACAGGAAGAAGATCAGCCACCCCAACCGTATCAACATCAAGAGTACTAAGGTGGACACTGTGGACTGCTACAAGTACCTGGAGGTCCACCTAGATAATAATAATAATAATAATAATAAGTAAACATAGACAAACATAGATAATAATAAACTGGACTGGACAGCTAACACCAACGCCCTCTACAAGAAAGGGCAGAGTCGCTTTTTTCTTCTGAGGAGACTCGGGTCCTTTAATATCTGCAGGACCATACTGGTTCATCAAGAGAGCTGCTCAGTTCTGGGAGTGGACCTGACAGAGGTGTCTGAGCAGAAGATGCTGAGGAACCTGCTCCAGATCCTGAACAACACGTCACACCTCCTGTATGACACCCTGGACTCTTACCGCAGCACCTTAAGTCGTAGACTGAGACCACCAAGGTGCTCCACAGAACAATACAGAAAGTCCTTCCTCTCTGTGGCTATAAATGTTCAACTCTTCCCGCTTTCTACACATAGGACAATAAAATTAATCCTGCACCACAGTAACCACATTAATGTTTCTGTCTGCACCTGACCTGTTTTAGAATTTAATTGTTGGTATTTTTATATTCTATGTTATTTTTTTTATATCTTGTGTGATTCATTGTGTATGTTCCTTTGTACTGAAAATCTGGCACAACAATTTCCTGTGGGATCAATAAAGTTCTATCTTATATCAATAAAGTTATATCTTATCTTATCTTATCTTATCTTAATGAATAAAGAGAATAAAAGAGAAAGAAGAGTAGAGGTCATAGAAACTGTGGTGATGGAGAAGTACAGAGAGGGTCAGAAAGAACTTCTCTGTGTCTTTGTGGACTTAGAAAACGCATATGACAGGGTGCCAAGGGAGGAGGTGTGGTATTGCATGAGGAAATCTGGAGTGGCAGAAAAGTATGTTAGACTGGTACAGGACAGTACTTGGGGTCCACTGTCCAGGAAAATGGGGAGTGTGGTAAAGAGGTGAAGAATAGAGTCCAGGCAGGATGGGGTGGATGGAGAAAAGTTTCAGGAGTGATTTGAGACAAAAGAGTGTCAGCAAAGGTGAAAGGAAAAGCTTAAAGACAGTGGTTGGTATGTTGTCTGATCTGGAGACAGAGACATGGACAAAAAGACAGGAGACAGAACTGGAAGTGTCAGAAATGAAGATATTGAGGTTCTCCTTAGGAGTGACAAGGATGGAGAAGATTAGGAATGAGATCATCAGAGATACAGCACAGGTTGAAAAACTGGGAGATAAAGTTAGAGAGGACACACTGAGATGGTTTGGACATGTCCAGAGGAGGGACAGTTGTTTGCACAAGTCCAGAGGAGGGACAGTGGGTATATTGGTAGACGGATGTTAGAAATGCAGCTGCCAGGAAAAAAGATAAAGAAGAGATATATGGATGCAGTTAAAGAGGACATGGAGGTACTTGGAGTGTGGACAGAGGACACAGAGGACAGAGTGAGGACAAAGGGCACAGAGGACAGAGTGAGATGGAGGAGGATGACTCACTGTCGAGACCCCTGAAGAGGTAAAAGCCAAAAGAAGAAGAAGAATCAGTCACTCTTCTGACCACAGACTCAAAACTTCTTTTTTTTTTTTTACCTGGTAGATGAGCGACAGGTTGTAAATGCTCTGATTGAATGGTAGACTGCAGCGGTGGGAGGGGACTCCAGAGACAAAGTTGTTCAGCAGGTTCTGACTGGCCATCAGTAAACCAGGTAAACTAATCAGGGTCACGTGGAGCCACTGGTACCTTCCGAACCCACCAACCTCACCATGGCAACCAGACACAGGACACACATTACATAACTGCATCACAAGTAATAAGATTACTTAGAAACATAAATAAAACTGACCTTGTCCAACAAGTCTGTGAAGCCCATTTCAACAACAGCAGCAGCCCAAGCAGCAAGACGTAGCAGATATCTGGTGTTTTTACGATCTAAACTTGAGTACTATCACAACAATCTTGAGGAAAAAAAGAAAAAATTATGCTAAAAAAACATAAAATTTTTATCTGTAAAGCAAACAAACAGAAAACTGAAGCTGATCTTGACTATGAAACTGGAAACAAAAGTACAGCAGTGGAACTGGACTCTGAAGTCAAATCTTTTATCAGAGTCTGCTGAGACTGCTTAAAGGATTACAGAAGTTGAATGAAAAGAGAACAAGGATTTTCTAAGTGTACTTACAGTCTGGAAGCTGAGGGGCAAGTGGACAGAGGGACAGAGTGTACTGACACATAAATGGAGGGAGGGAGGCAGACTTTAGGGGGTAGAAGACAGAACAATGATTGAAAGTAGAAAACCACCAATGTATATGATGATGTATCATTAACCCAGTCAGTTACTGAGTCACCTGAAAGCTACTCAGCGATGGTATACAGTAATCATCCAGAAGGTTTCATTAGTCAACAATGGTCTACAGCAGGAGTATTCAATTAAAACTCACTGAGGTCCAGTTACTGAAATTTCCTCCTAGTTACAGATGTGAACGAAAGTCAAACTTTTGTCATTTATAGTTTTGCCTATCTGTATGTTCATATTTTAACAAACTGCACTTTATAGTAAGCAACTAGTTATTTTGCTATATTTAAAGGTAGTCCAGACAAAGTGCAGCTCAAACACCCCTATGATGAGAAAAATAAATGGACTCAATGTTCCCTCGCCCGGACGTGGGTCACCGGGGCCCCACTCTGGAGCCAGGCCTGGAGGTGGGGCACACGGGCGAGCACCTGGTGGCTGGGCTTTTACCCATGGAGCTTGGCCGGGCACAGCCCGAAGAGGAGACGTGGGTACCCCTTCCCATGGGCTCACCACCTGTGGGAGGGGCCAAAGGGGTTGGGTGCAATGTGGGATGGGTGGTGGCCGAGGGCGGGGACCCTGGCGGTCGGATCCTTGGCTACAGAAGCTGGCTATTGGGCCGTGGAATGTCACCTCACTGGTGGGAAAGAGCCTGAGCTGGTGTGTGAGGTTGAGAGGTTCTGGCTAGAAATAGTCGGACTCACCTCTATGCATGGCTCTGGCTCTGGAACCAGTTTCCTTGAGAGGGGTTGGACACTCTTCCACTCTGTGGAGTTGCCCCTGGTGAGAGGCACCAAGCAGGAGTGGGCATACTTATCAGAGTCAGAGTCAGAGTTTCTTTATTGTCATTCGCACCTCATGTGGTACATGTGGTGGAGCGAAATTATGTACACAAGGTCCCAGTTACATCCAACAATAAAATGTATAAGAAAAACAGTAATGACATCTAAGATATGAACTAAGAAAAACATCAACTAAATATACACTAAGCACTCATAACATAAAACATTGAACATCAGCACAAACATGAACATGAGTCTGTGAGCAGATGTGCACGCATGAACACATCAACATTGAAACAGATCAGCAGCAACATGAAACAGATCAGCAGCAACATGATATGGTTTTTCACAGTGATTATTCTAGTTAGAGATTCATGAGTCTAACAGCCTCAGGGTAGAAGCTGTTCCTCAGTCTAGTGGTTCTACACTTAATGCTCCTTAACCTCCTTCCTGAGGGGAGTGGGGCAAAAAGTGTGTGTGCTGGGTGGGTGGGGTCCTTCATGATGCAGGTGGCCCTCTTCCTGCATCTGGAGGTGTAGATGTCTGTGATGGTGGGGAGACTGATTCCAACAGATTTCTGTGCAGCCTTCACCACTCTCTGCAAAGCTTTTCTTTCTACAGCTGTGCAGCCTCCATGCCACACATTGATGCTCGAGCACAGGATGCTCTCCACTGCACACCTGTAGAAGGAGGTGAGGACTGAGCTTCCCAGACCAGCTCGCCTCAGCCGTCTGAGGAAGTAGAGTCTCTGATGAGCTTTCTTGATCAGGCTGGTGGTGTTGTTGCTCCAGCTGAGGTTGTCATTCATGTGTACACCCAAGTACTTGTAGCTGGAGACCACTTCCACCGCAGATCCTCTTATGTTCAGGGGGGTGTAGGTGTTTTTGTTCCTTCTGAAGTCCACAATCATCTCCTTTGTCTTCTTCACATTGATGTGAAGGTTATTCTCTCTGCACCAGCTCTCCAGGTGTTCCACCTCTTGCCTGTAGCTGGACTCATCATTGTTTGTGATGCATCCCACCACCGCTGTATCATCTGCAAACTTTACAATGTGACAGCCTGGATGGGTAGCTGCACAATCATATGTGAGCAGAGTAAACAGAAGGGGGCTCAACACACATCCCTGAGGAGAGCCAGTGCTGAGGGTTATGGTGGAGGAGGAGAGGTTGTGGATCCTCACTAACTGTGGTCTGTTTGTTATAAAGCCTAGTACCCAGTTGCAGATGGAGGGGCTTAGTCCTAGTGTGGATAGTTTGTCCATCAGGGTTTGGGGGATCATGGTGTTGAAGGCGGATGTGAAGTCCACAAAGAGCATACGGACGTAAGAGTTTTTCTGCTCCAGGTGGTTGAGCGCAGTGTGGACCACAGAGGAGATTGCATCCTCTGTTGATCGGTTCTCACGGTATGCATACTGATGAGGGTCCTCGTTGATGTTGATGGTTGTTTTGATGTGAGTCATGACCAGTTTTTCGAAGCATTTAGCGACTATCGGGGTGAGGGCCACTGGCCGATAGTCATTCAGACCAGTCACTGTAGAGCTTTTTGGGACTGGGATGATGGTGGCAGTCTTCAGGCAGGTGGGAACTGTCTCCAGGGTAAGTGAGGTGTTAAAGATGTCTGCCAGCACCTCACAGAGCTGATCAGCACATTCCTTCAACACTTTTCCGGGGATGTTGTCTGGGCCAGTTGCTTTGTGCGGATTAATCCTCCTGAAAGTACTCCTTACTTCTGCTGAGGTCACGCTGAGATGCTCTTCATCCGGTGGCGAGGTGAGTCTGGTGCTGGGTGGTCTGTTCGGGTCTTCAAAGCGTGCATAGAACTTGTTGAGGGCATCAGGCAGAGATGGGTCTTTGGGGCATAGTTCACTCCTTCCTTTATAATCTGTTATGCACTTAATGCCCCTCCACATGCTCCGAGGGTCTTGTGAGATGAATTGACCCTCGATCCTCTTTGCATATGCGGCCTTGGCCCTCTTAATACCAGCAACCAGCTCTTTTCTTGTCCTACTCAGCTCCTCTGAGTTTCCAGACCTGAAGGCAGTGTTCCTGGCTTCCAGCAGGGTACGCACCTCTGCATTCAGCCAAGGTTTTCTGTTTGGGTAGCTTTTAACATTTCTGATAGTGGAGACTGTGTCAGTACATGTACTAATGTAACCCAGTACTGAGGATGTGTATTGGTCAAGATCAAGCGAACCTCCATTTTCAGCAGCTTCTCTGAAAACCTGCCAGTCTGTTCGATCAAAACAATCTCTCAGTATGGGTCCACTGTCCTGGCTCCAACATTTAACTTTTTTTTGTACCGGTCTGGAGCGTCTCAGCGGGGGCATGTAAGCAGGAGCCAGGAAGATTGAGATGTGATCTGACAGTCCTAGGTGGGGGCGGGGTTCGGCTTTGTATGCATCTTTTACGTTCGTGTAAACACGGTCCAGCGTGCGGTCTCCACGTGTCGGAATCGTCACATGCTGATTAAAGCTTGGGAGACAGTCCTTTAGATTCACGTGGTTAAAGTCTCCGGCTACAACATAAAGAGCCTCGGGGTGTTTGTTCTGCAGCGAGCTGATGATATCATGAAGCTCCTGTAGTGATTCATTAGCATTAGCGTCCGGAGGAATGTAAACAACTGTGATAAAAGTCACTGTGAACTCTCGGGGTAGATAATGTGGCCGACATTTCACTGTTATTTGCTCCAAAGCCTTCGAGCATGAGCTATTTACAACAGTACAGTTCGTGGACCAACTTTTACTCACGTAAATGCACACTCCGCCCCCCCGTGATTTCCCCGTTAGCTCGCTGCAGCGGTCCGCTCGAATTATTATTATTATTATTATTATTAATTATTGCCCCCCATATTGGTGCCTGTGTGTTAGGGTTAACCCCAGTGAATGAGAGGGTAGCCTCCCTCCACCTACTTGTGGGGGGATGGGTTCTGACTGTTGTTTGTGCTTATGCACCAAACGGCAGTTCAGATTATCCACCCTTTTTGAAGTCCTTGGAGGGGGTACTGGAAAGTGCACCTCTTGGGGACTCCCTTGTTCTGCTGGGGGACTTCAATGCTCACGTGGGCAATGACAGTGAGACCTGGAGGGGTGTGGTTGGGAGGAACGCCCCCCCCCCCCAATCTGAACCCGAGTGGTGTTCTGTTGTTGGACTTCTGTGATCATCATAGATTGTCTATAACAAACACCATGTTCAAGCATAAGGGTGTCCATATATGCTCTTGACACAGGACACCCTAGGCCACAGTTCGATGATCGACTTTGTCGTTGTCTCATCTGATCTATGGCCACATGTCTTGGACACTCGGGTGAAGAGAGGGGCAGAGCTGTCCACTGATCACTACCTGGTGGTGAGTTGGCTCCGATGGTGGGGGAAGATGCCGGTCAGACTAGGCAGGCCCAAACGTATTGTGAGGGTTTGCTGGGAACGTCTGGCAGAGTCTCCTGTGAGACAGAGCTTTAACTCCCACCTCCGGGAGAACTTTGAACATGTTCCAGGGAAGTAGGGAACATTGACCACAGTTGACATCACTACTCTCTCATTCAGACAGAAGATCAAAAATGCATAATTACTTTGTAAAATAGACATTTTAACTTGATTTCTAATTTAAATGAGTATTAAAAAAGCATTAATACTGTTTCACAGTTGATTTAAATGAGTGGTTTACTTCAACATTAGAAATGGTATGAACTAAACACACTTTTGATTATCAAGATATTGTAAAATAGTAATGATAATATAAAAAGAAGTGTTCTTTCAATTGATTAATTCAGGATACAATTAAATAGTCTCTTGATGAGATAATTTGTATTTCTGGATTCAAATCAATGAAATAACAGTTCCTGTCCCCTGAAGGTCTTCAGAGACAGGTTGAGGTTGGAGGTCTAGTTCACTACACAAGTAAAAAAGTCCAGTGGTGATGTTTTTTATTTCTCTATAAACACAAAAAGTGCCGACCTGACGCTCTGTATTAAAGTGTATTAAAGTAAAAATTACTTTAAACCCACAGCTGAATTTACACAAACTTGGTGACAAACGTTTAAAATGTGTGGAATTAAAGGAAATCTAGGTGAAATGTTGCTTTTTTTGTTCACTAGTGAACACCTTTTTTTTAAACGCGCGTGCACATGCACGCGCACACATG